GTCATTTATGAATGTAGAAATTATTATTTTGGTATCATAGACCTTGCCATAAATAGAAGTCAAAACTTTTGCCATTCTTTAAAGAGATAGAGATACTCGGAACTGGCCTGAGAGAAAACTACCCTTTAACGGGCTTTCGATAGCTTTCTCTTGCGGGCGTAGGTTGGTAGCAAACAGATGACAGTTTCAACTACTCGGCATTCACCAGCATTACGATCTAACAAATCGTAGAAAAATTGATTTTTTTCTTTTTCTAGCTGAGTCGCTTCTCAGCGTTTAGCACAAGAGGTGCGCTACTTTTCATTGCATCATGCTTGCCACCTCATTATAATATGTAATCTCCGTACCGGAAAATAAAACTTTTTTCCATCTGCTTTGTTGCAGTACTTTTTTTTGTTTCTGATAGTTAAGGACGAATTGGTCCATTTTCCCATTTTTCAGATTTTATGGTTTATACCTTCGCATAGTGATCAATCAGCTATCGCTGGACGATGTTGAAAAACATTACATGTCTCTTGTGCCACGGGCAGTGCCAATAACCAGTAATTTGGCTATGGTTATGCTTCGGCGTCTTCAGGTATGAAACTACATATTTTACGAATCTAGCCTCAGTCACGAAAAACGAGGTTAGAGCTGACTGTAAGACTGAAAATGCTTTTCTTATTAGTTCTCAGGTCTTGATTGTCACGGACCCCGTGTCGATTCCTGATACCAGAAAGTACCTTACTAAAATTCACATATTCAAAATGCAATACACATTAGTTTACGAATTTCTTTCAAAAAACCTAACTTTCTGAATGGCCTAGTGGCACTTTGGCTCATTTTGTTATTTCTGCTGGAACCAAAGAAAGCTGACTTCACCTTTGTTACATTGAAATTGTTAGTACCATGTCTTTTTTAAAGACTGAAATTTAGTGAAGAGTTTAACTTACTCGAAATAGCTGGAAGAAGCATTAATTTGTAAACTAAGTCATCATTTTTGCAGCCGAAAACTTGTTCAGTTATTTTGTCTTTTGGCAGTCAGCCCGCTGGTAATCAGTTGGA